AATAATAATAATAATAATAATAATAATAATAATAATAATAATAATAAAAGATTTATTGGGGTTGGAGAGATGGCTCAGAGATGCTTTTCCAAAGGTCCTGATTCTAATTCCCAACAACCATGTGGTGGCTCACAACCGTCTATAATGAGATCTGATGCCCTCTTCTGGCGTGCAGGTGTAAATGCAGACAGAACATTGCATGCATAATAACTAAATAAATCTTTAAAAAAAGATTTATTGATTTCTTGTGTACGTGTGAGTGCCTGTGCAAATTTATGAACACCACATTCCTGTGGTACCCATGGAGACCAGAGTATTGGATCTCATGGAGCTAGAGTGTGAGCCGCTTGACCTGGGGACTGGGAACTGAATGTGGGTCTTTTGTAAGAGCAATAAGGCCTCAATCACTGAACTATCCCTTTAAGTCCTGGGTTAACTTTAAGGGTGGAGACAAGAGTATGTCATTTTCTAATCTTTGGAGCGATCAGAATGTCAGTTTCCACCTAGAGTCTGAGTCAGAGCTTAGATTCCATTCTTTCCGTCTGGAGGAAGTTTAGTTTTCATTTAAAGACCTCTACAGAGGCCTGAAATCACCTCTGGAGAGGAAATTTAAATTGTAGGGAAGGTAGTTGTAAGGGGGCAGGGAACTGGAGCTCAGGTGAAAAGCTGACCATTCCCATGAAGGCTCATCCTCAATAGCCTCAAGACTCTAATCCCTGCTTATTTACCTCACAGCAGCTCTAAATTTTGATGGAAAAGGTGATACAGAATGCAGCAGGTATGCATATGTTAACCTGACCGGGAGGTAAGCTGTTAGGACTGTGGGAATCTCTTCTTGCAAGGCAGGTTTTCTCTTTTCTCCTATGTCCTTGACCTTTTCCCGGGGTGCCTGGGCAGGTTTTAATTGCTTGGCCTACATTATTTCAGGGTTCTTGTCTTATTGTGGGATGAATGTAAGCCCCTGGGAGTCATACAGGGCAAATTCTTCCAGGCTTTTCCAGTGCTTTTGTTTCTGTTACGGAATTCTTCCAGGCTTTTACGGAATTCTTCCAGGCTTTTTCAATGCTTTTGTTTCTGTTACGGTATTTTTTCTTTCTTTCTTTCCTTTCTCTTTCTTTCCTTCTCTCTCTTTTCCTTCCTTCCTTCCTTCCTTCCTTCCTTCCTTCCTTCCTTCCTTCCTTCCCCCTTTCTTTTCTTTTCTTTCTTTCGTTTCTTTCCCTTCTTCCTTCCTTCCTTCCTTCCTTCCTTTCTTTCTTTCTTTCTTTCTTTCTTTCTTTCTTTCTTTCTTTCTTTCTTTCTTTCTTTTTCTTTCTTTCTTCTTTTGGTTTTCCAAGATACGGTTTCTCTGTGAAGCCTTGGCTGCCCTGGGACTTGCTCTGTACACCAAGCTGGCCTCATACTCAAGAGCTATGCCTGCCTCTGCTTCCCAAGTGCTGTGATTAAAGATGTACACCACCACTGTCCAGTTTTTCAATTTGTTATTTTCATATGACAGCTTTCATTGTCAACGACTGCCATTGACAGAGCTAGACATATTTATTATGTGGTGTGTATGTGCTTTTCAGTGTTCATGTGTGTTGGAGCCTATGGAGGCCAGAAAATTGGATCCTGTAAAAGAATTTTAATCCAGCAACAGGGCTTTTCTGGCTGAAATATGGATATGCCTTTAATTCCAGGAGACAGAGGCAAGCAGATCTCTGAGTTCAAGGCCAGCCTGGTATAGAGCAAGTTTCAGGTAAAGAAAAGCTTTGGTAGAGGCTTCTTGGTACGTGCTTTTAATCCCTGCATGTAGGGGGACAGAGACATGCAGATCTCTGAGTTCTGTTCAGGCAGTTCATTTGAATCAGGTTGTTCAGAGGCCGTGCAGTAGAGTTGAGTTTGTGGCAGTTCAGTTTGTGGAATTTAGGGGGAGTTTTTACTGGGAAAATTGTACAAAGAGAGGTTGAAGATAGAACAATCTCAACATAGGTGAAGACAGAACTAGCCAGAGACCGAGAAAGAGCCAGAAGATTACAATAGATTGCTAGAGTTTGAGTCCAAGCAGATCAATTCAGTGAGAAGCTGAGAGAGAAGTTAGATTGAATCAGTCAGTTTGGAGAGAAGTTTGAGCCTGTACAGCTGAGTTGAACCATACAGCCATTGTTCAGAAAGAACTGGAAAAGGTGAGTTTATTCAGCTGTAAGTCTCAGAGGCTGAAAACATTTTAGGCCTAGATTAGGTTGCACAGAGGCTAGATGTTTCCAGGAATAGGCCTAGGTTAGCAGACAAAGGCAGCAAGTCTCCAAGAACACTATTACATCAGGTGAATACAAGTTTTACTTTTACAGGATTCCCCAGAACTAGAGTTACAGATATTGTGAGCTGCCATTTGGGTAGTGGGAACTGAACCCAGATCCTCTCCAAGAACAGCAGAGATCTGAATTTCTGAGGCATCTCTCTAGCTCCCCTTGTTATTTTAAAAAAATATGTTATATGTGCCTGTATACCTGAGTATATGTATGCACAGTGTGTGCATGAAGAAGCCCATGGGGATCAGAAGATGTGTCAGATTAATTGGAACTGGAGGCATAGACAGTTGGGACTCACCATGTGGGTGCTCGGAACCATACATCACCTGCAAGAGCAGTGAGTTCTCTCAACTGCTGAGCCCTCTCTCTCTCTGACCCTTACTTTGCTATTTTTGATCAGTTTTGCACAAGGCATTTCTTTTTCCCTTAAATCTCGTATGAATGGATGTTAACCAGCTGAGTACAACTCAAGTAGAAGATGCTAGTCACTTGCCGATGAGAGTCAAAACTTGCTAGGTAGCTTTTTATTTCCACACTCCTTGCTTAAACATTTGTGTTTGGCTACTTAGCCACATGTCAAACACTGGGTATAATGAAGGGTCCCAAAGCCAATAAATAGCATAAATTACTTATAGAACCAGACACAATACTAACCAATGGGAAGAAAAGCAATATGCAAAATAGTGCCATTAAACAGAAGTCTCAAGTAATAATGATCTCTACAAAATTATTTATTATTATTATTAATTATTTTATCATTATTTTCAGGCTCATTATTAGCCCCAGCTGGTCTGGAACTTGGTATATAGGCCATGCTGGGCTGGAGTTTACCATAATCTTCCTACTTCAGGCTCCCATGTGCAGGGTGGGATTAGAGGTCTGTGCCACCATGCCTGGTTTGTTGAGTCATGGTGTTAGATTGATACCGAAGGGAGTTGGGAGGGTCTTTCTGAAGAGATGAGAATATGTTTGATCTTAACTATGGTGATTGTTTCATACGGTCTAAACTTGTTTAAAATTAATATAAATTATGCTGTGGTGAGTGGTGAGGGGGGCTCCCATTCTCCGAAGAGTAAGGGAGGAGGGGTAGGGGAAACAGAGAGGGAAGGTGGGACTGGGAGGAGAGGAGGGTGGGGGCTCCAACTGGGATGTAAAGTGAATAAATGTTAAAAAAGTAATATAAATTAACTTTATTATACAACATGACAAATTTTCTAAAAAAAAAGTATGAAAGGTTGCTTAATTAATTATTCAATTTAGTGGGAACAGTGGTGGCACACACCTATATTCCTAGCACTCAGGAAGCAGAGGCTGGTGGACCTTTGTGAGTTCGAGGCCAGCCTGATCTACACAGTGAGTCCAGGACAGCCAGAGCTACACAGAGAAACCCTGTCTTGAAAAAAAAATTTTTTTTTAAATTACACTTATTTATCTGTTTATTTGTTTGTGTGTGTGTGTGTGTGTGTGTGTGAGAGAGAGAGAGATGTGAAGAGGTCAGAGAACAACTTGTGAGAGTTAGTTCTCTCCTTCTAACATGTGGGTCTTGGGGATCAAATAAGATCTTTACCAGCTGAGTGATGGTATGCACCCCCAAGTAATCTTATTATGATGATGAAAACATAAGGAAAGAAATTGAGAAGGTGCACCCCGAAGTCACACGGTTCAACTCATTAACACAGATTTGCACTTTATTGGAATTTGCATCCTGAGAATAAAATTTTATCTGACAAGTGAACAATGACAGAAGCAGCAGTGAAAGTTTCAGAGGCAAGTAGCCTTCATTTTGGCACAGCTGTATATAGGTTGAGTTCTTCCAGGGGAATCAGCCCTGGACTCAAGGGGGAAGAAGAATTCATTCCACAGGCTACATAACACTACAAGATGCATGAAAGTTCTTGGTTTGATGGACATATCCACTATTATTCTCTTCTGGTAAAGCTGTCCCAACAGGAATCCTCTGCCAAAATGTAGAAGTTGTTTCATTTTCAACCAGATTTTTTTGAACAACGCCAGCTCTGTAGCTATCTGGATGTCCTGTTGTTGCAGTACAGATTCATACTTGTATGTGGTTAGTCCAAGGATGACAAACTAGCTTGTAGATTATATAATTTCAAACATTTGTAACTTGTTTCAAAGTCCAGGCATTAAAACAATTTTTAACTATTTGCTTACACGAAAAACAGAAAAGCAGGAAGATTATGCCAAGATAAAAGCAAATTAAATAAGCAGGAGTAAAAGGAACATTTGAGAACTTATTGCCTTGATTACCATACAAACTTTACACACACAATTACTTTAAGAGGCAGAGAAATTGTTACTTAGACTTAGAAATTGTTACTAGAACATGACACTAGAACACTGCACATTTGCAATCCTGTGTGTGTACATGGACATAGCTCATCGAATCAGTTCAGTTCCAGAATCCTGAAACAAAGCAAAACTGAAGACTGAATTTATACCTCAACCTAGCCAATCTCTCTCTCTCTCTCTCAATCTCTCTCTCTCTCATTCAGGGACTAGGAAGCAACGTGTTGAGAGGATCAAATAGTTCTTTTATAAAAGTGGCTCCCAACATTTTCATAATATAGATCTCTTAATTCCTTCCCCATTTTCAAGTATATATTAAAGTACACTTAAGGACATCTTTCTCATTTCCATTAGTTACAAGCACACTTCCATTCCCAGCTTTCAATCAGTGTGGGTAAGCAATGTTAACAGACAGAACAGGAAAGCACATGAGCAAAATGCATGGTGATTCCATGTCTTGTTTGGCTGGTGTAGTAAGAATGTGATAGGTCAGTGTGTGGCCTTTAGTGTGTTTTTTTTTTTTTTCATAAATTTTTGAGAGAGGCTCAAGGATACACTCCACTGCTATCTTTCTTTATCTGCCCCAAACTGAGAGCCACTGGTTCACACCCACCTGCTTTCCTCCCTAAATCAAGTATTGACATAGTACAATCACTCATGTTTAATAGGGCACTAGCAACAAAAATGACTACTGAAAAAAAAAAATCAATGTAACACTCTGTAGGGTATTACTGAGAAAAAGAACATAACAGATCAAAAGTCACATCTACTTAGAATTATATAACTGTTATCCATTATTTCTTCTAGTCAGCTTCTAACTACACGAACACATGAAAAAAGACCCTCAATTCCCCTGTGAGGTAGGTCCAGATTCTTGTCCCCACTTCAGCAATGAGGACATGAGGTACAGAGGAATTAAGCAGCAGGGCAAAGAACTAAACCAGAACTGACTTGGGTTGGAACTGTACGCCATTTTCCTTTCCACCTACATTTCTAAATCCATTCCAACGGATCTTTTTGTGAGTAGGGAACCTGGTGAGACACTGAAGCAGATGTGAAATTGAATATGCAACTCTTCACATGCTCTAAGCAGATCCTTTTACATGTCTGCTCTTGTCACACCTGCACTTCTTGCCTAGATACGGACGGCACAGTGACACACCACATGGCAAACAGAGATCCCAGCCCTCACTTCCTAGGGAAACTACATTCACTTTTATCAGGACAGAGGGAATAAGGTCTACCAGGCATCAGGTTCTTTGAGTGTGTATTTACTGACACACATCAACTAGCAGCCAGCCAGCAACCTCAACTCAAACTGTGTGCAAGACAGTATGAGTTTCCCAAGTGTAGATCTGACAATAACTATTCTCACACTCTGCACAGCAAAGATTTTCAAGGCCTTCTCAGAACCACAGAATGTTAGCTCACCTCTCATTCTCTGTCTAGCTCAGGTTCAACCCACTACTTTTACAAATGAAAACACTGACATGTAATTTAGGTCACTTGCCTGGGGCTCACAATATTAGATAAACTGTTTCTTCAGTAAGTCTGACTTTGACAAAATTCACAGAAAATGGAACATATTCTCAGGTTGCTATCATCAAAATAAAAAGGCTGGCTCAGAATCAGGTAAGGAAAAGTTTGAGCAAGATAAGGATTATACACACACACACACACACACACTCACACACACGGAAAGATATACTTACGAATATCCTTCAATTATTTTTAGCTCACAAAGTATATGATAAACTTATTAAGTTTATTAAAGTATTAATAAACTTATTCTTTACTAGGAAAAATTTCCCAACAGTTCACCACTTAAGGGAACCTGAATGATTTGATAGTTGTAAAATAAACCTTTTCATAAGAAGCAGACTTTTATAGGCATAATCGGACTTAACTTGAATGAAATGAACAATTCCTGTCAATTTAGTGAAAAGTATTTCTGCTATGTAAAACTGTCCCAATTACTCAGATGAGTATAATTTCTGTATTTGCCTAGGACATATAGTAATTTCAAGCGAAATATTGTTTGGGAACTTCATGTTCAAGTAGCGGTTTAAATTCTAAGTGGCAGCTTACCTGTAAGCAAAAATAAAAGTGCTAATGATTTGTAAAGGTCTCAGCCATTTGAAAATCCCTAACTGTTGTTAGGCTTACAAATGTTATTGAGGTTTTCTAAAATTATCAAAGGCAACAATAACTCTCATTAAAAAGGGCAATGCTAGGCATCAACACAGTTTAATTTCTGAGATATTAGTGTTTATGACAGGTCATGCTAATATAAGAAATATGGACATCAATTCTTATGTCAGTTTTGGTACAGTCTTCAATCAAAGACCATTGTCCATCCAGAACTATAGTCAATTCTATGCTTACTAGCATTAAAATTCACCCTAATTATTTACGTGACTGGTACTTTTATTCCATGATTATTTTATCATTAATATATCACCATTGGAAAAATAAGTAAATGGGCTTGCTTAAGTAAGAGAAATATAATAACCTAGTGTTATCATGATTAGTTGAAAAGAATCATTTCTACTAATTATGAATTCATTCCTTCTGCTTCCTTCCACATTCCATGTTATCTTTGAGAAAGACAAGGCACTTTCCCATCTACTTCTAAAGTTAAAAATAATCTCTTTCATAAATAAACACGGGTTAAGAGGGGAAGTGAGAAGAAGACATCTGAGATGGGGTTAATCCACAAATGAGATTTGCCCTTATTTTTATTAATAATATAGATGCTATTGGCCTTCTAGATAAGCTTTAATATGACCATTGGATCAAATGAGAAGTAACAGAAAACTTGTTTCTTTTTCTTTTTCTTTCTTTCTCTCTGTCTGTCTTCCTGTCTGCTCTTTGAGACAAGGTTTCATTCTGTAGCCCAGGCTGGCTTTGAACTCATGTAGCCCAGGCTGCCTTCAAATTCACAGCAATTCTCTTGCCTTATCCTCCTGAGTGCTGGGGTTAAAGGAGTAAACCACCATGCCAGGCTTTTCAGAATGTGACAAAAAAAAAAATTCTTTTAATTTGCAATCTCAAAGCTAATGAGATTTAAATGCTTTGGCAAAAACATGGTATTTTAAAACCTTATCCTTTAGAAACTACCATGCAGTTTTAATAAAGGAATATTACGTATCAACAAAATTAATTTTTTTCAGTCAAAAATAACTTTCACAAAATTCTTGGATAACCCAATAGAAAAATACATGTTACACTCTATTTGAGGATAATTGAAAAAAAAAAAAAGTGTGGTGGGGGAGGAATTAGCAGCCAGGGTACAGTCTGTCAGGTTAGCATTTGCTGTGGCTAATTTCAATGAAAACAACCTCTTTCCCACCTAAACGACCTGATTTCTAATCACCTTCCTTTAAGGAAAAACAGTGTGGAAAAAAAGCACTCACACAAGAAAGAAAGGAAAAGAGAAAATAGATGGTTTTCTGGGTAGCTCAAGAAACTGTCAGTCTATTAGCATACGGAACATTCAAATAACCCATTTATGAGTGAGTAGCTCAAATTGAGTTGACATATTTTGACAAATGTTTTCTGATGCCAAATACTATTGTAACTTGAATTATACTTGGTCACCACCAGATAATATCTATTCCTATCTTAATATTTGTTTCATGGAAACAATTCATTACACTTCTTGTTTTTTCTTTTTTTTTTAAAAAAAAAAAAAACAAAATGAAGTGTGATTTGTACATGGCAGAAACAGTTACTATGATCCCTATTTCGCCAAATTCTAAGGCTACAGACAAAATGTAAGATTGCTGAGGGATGACACTCACAAAATTACTTTACCAGTAAGAATTAAAAATTCTGTATTATGATGGACATCAATTTTGGTATTAAAATATCACAGTATAAAACATAAATTTGATGACATTAGCTGGAACCTAAAACATAGATATGTTTTTCCCTGACCTTAGCTATAAAACAAGACATTAGGTATGCATTTTCAGAGGCTTCCTTCTTGTCTATAAAAATACACCTTCAACTTTGCAGTAGGCAGATATATTTGCAGGCATACACAATATATTAGAACTTAGAGATTCGGGGTGGCTGAGTGGCACAGGGGAACGGAACTCCAAAAGTGTTTGTGCAAAGCATAAGAACCATATATCAGAGTGTCTTTCCTCCTTCAGTCAAGGACTAAGGATTTCAGATGAGGCATAACTTTTAAAAACACTTGACCTTGTGTGATTGTTCGGTTCACTGGGATGAACTTACTTAAAAGTAGTTAAGAATTGAAGAACAAAGAGAATGTATGTCAGCCAATGTAAATTATAAACCACACCCACATACAGGCCTTCACTTGCAGTTGAATTAATATGATATAAAACCTTTGTTATAATTTCAAATGGTAGTAGAACCAGAGTGGTAATCTTACTCAATTTAATTGTGAAGTCAGAAAAAGATGCATGTACCAATCAAAACACGTGGTCAATTTAAAAACAAAAACAATTTTATCTAAATTTTACTTTTTCCTTAATAATTTCCAAATGTTTAAAAAATATCCTCAAGCAGAAAGCTGAGCCTATTTTATCAACTCTGACAGGCTACACAGGTAGAGATTGTCAGCACTCTTTTTCAATGCAGAACACAGGAACTTCAGAAGAGGATAAACCAAGGCTTTCATGGGGGCCTTGATACCTCACAGGAGCCAAAATCTCAAGACATCTTTTTGTTTGTTTGTTTATTGTTTTTCAAGACAGGGTTTCTCTGTGTAGCTCTGGCTGTCCTGGAACTCACTCTGTAGATCAGGCTGGTCTCAAGCTCATTGAGACCCACCAGTCTCTGCTTCCATAGTGCTAGGATTACAGGCGTGAGCCAGGCTCTCAAGACACTTAAAATCTGTGTATTTTCAAAGGAGGGAAAGGATACATAAGGGAAAGGAAATGAGAGCCAGTGAGGCCCTAAGATGTATTTGATATCAAACATGGGGGTGGGGGAGGGTGAAGTGGAGGATAAATGAATCACAATGAACCAAATGAAAAAAATAAGGTTCTTGGTCTCAGGTGTAATGTACAAGATCTGAATAATGATTTCAGTTTTAATCCACTTGTTAAGAAGGGCAATCCGGCCCCACACCTGAAATTTAACATACTCATTTTGGCTTTGCCAAGAAACAGCACGTTAAAGGTCTCTACATTCAAAAGGATGCTTGCAAAGTTCATTCACATTAAAATCTATGTGGAATTGTTGGCAATACACTGAGAATAATACATTCTGTAAACCATGGCATACCACATTTTACATTATGCAAAGAGACAATATTTACAAGTCTTTAGGAGTTTAAATATTTTATCCACTAACATAAGTGACAATTTAGCAAAGTGCAGGAGGAAACCAGTGCTATTAATTGCATGTTCTTTGAAAGCAGAGTAAAACCATTTCTAAAAGCTACCAAAAGCTTATTTAGGTGTGTCCAGTAAGGTGTTACAGAGCATTAAATAGCCTAGAAAAATGATGCATATTTAGAAACAGTGAGTATGAAAATCATAAGGTGGCATGCTCAGAACAAAGGGTTTTTTGTTGTTGTTGTTGTTTCTTTAAACACCAGCACTGATGTTTTTAGTGTCAACTATATATACACGTGTATATGTTTGTGTGTATTTAAAAATTGAGAGTGCAAAACACAAGCCTCATTTAATAACAAAAAGATGTGCAAATTGTCTTCTTAAATCAACACAAATAAAATAGTGAGAATATTCTACTGTTGTAAAGAATAAATTGAACACAGCAAAGGAGACTGTCTCCATTCCAAGATCATCTACAAGGCACTAAGGGTAGGAAATGACAGATAACACAGAAGTGACAGAACAAAACTCCTCAGTCGGGTCGGAATATGGGGTATTTTGGTAAGAACTCTATTAGTATTACCTGTAAAATAAAGACAGAAAAGAACATATTGACATAATATATTTTTTTTCATTTAATGTATATAACCCACAAAATCTAGTTGACTTCCACAGAACTGTATTTTCATTCTGTGTTATAGGAAGTGAGTGAAATACACGAAATGGTTCTTCAAAAAAAAAAAATTAAGCACAAGTTGCGACAAAACAGACCATTCATTTCAAAATTGAACTGGCAGACAAACCTAATCACTGGAACTAACAGCTATTATTGACTGATTTAGAATAGCTATTTGCTGAGAGCCAAACTCTATTACATTTTTATAATCCTGATTCTTTCAGCCAAAAAGAGATTAAAACTGCTTTATACAGATTAGGAAAAAAAAATAACCTGTTTTTATTTTTTTAATTAAAGCAACTAATATTAATTTAGGATTATTATTTTTGTGAGTCGTTTATGAAATATGAGTTGCTCAAACAGATTGACTATAACACATCTGAACTGCAGAAAGGCTTCCAAGACTTCTGTTTTTGTGAGACAGGGTCTCAATATGTGGCCCTGGCTGGCCTGGAACTCTCTATGTAGATCAAGCTGGCCCCAAAACGAAGAGATACCCATCCTCCGGCCTCTGCTTCCAAGAGCTGGAATTAAAGGCACGAGCCACTTCTATTATTATGCTTTTCTTTTATCATGGTGAAGGCAGTCTTAATATCTCAGGCAGGCTTTGACCTTACTATAAAGCTAAGGAAGACCTTGAACTTCCTGTTTACAGGCAACCTGCTTAAAGTTGGTGCTAGGGACCAAACAGGGCTCTAGATGCTGGACAAGCGCTTTTTCAGGCTGCATTATATTCTCAGCTGTGGAATGTTTAATGATAAACACTGGTAGGTTCAAGATGGTGAATAGATCATATTGTTCATATGTGGTCTTATGCCTTATGAATAAGACTTCGTATTTTCTTTCTTTCTTTTTTTTTTTTTTTTTTTTTTTGAGATAGAGTCTCATTATGCAGTCCTGGCTGGCCTGAAACTTACCGAGATCCACTTGCCCCCTGCTGGGGTAAAAGGTTTGTGTTACCACACCCAGCAAGATTACGGATTTTTGGTAAAAATTCTTAGCTTATATTCAAATTCAATTTAATAGATTTTATTCATTTAATAGTTTAGTCACTCAAAGTTAAATGCCAGCCAAGTTAAAAAAAAAAAAAAAAAAAAAAGCTAGCAATGTAAGCCCCAAACTGAAAGTCAATTGCTTACGTAAGTTTTTTGACAAGCTTGCACCTTGGTGTATTTTGCTAGGCAGCAGCTGTTTTCACTGCCATATGTTATAGTTTGTGTCTGTGGTAACAGAAATGAAGGGTATACAACATTTTCAGCTGAGCAGAGGAGCTGAGACCTGCCTTCTAAGCTTCCGAGATACTTTAGGTTGGCCACAAGTCTAAAGAAGATAAAGAGTGGCCTCTGCGCCTCAACAGACAGAAATTTGGGCTGAGGAGTTAAAAGGCACAGACAACAGATGGTGAACATAGGAAAACATTACACTGGCGGTGAAATCCAACAAATGTGATGAAAACAACTTCATACTTACATACTCCATCATATTGCTAGTTTCACATTTTCTTTTAGTCAACTTCCAGTGCAAAGCAAGCTAAAAAGGTAGATGTTGGTTAAGAAGTTTTCTATCATCTTTGGTTAATTACATTTGAATAAGTCACTAAAGGTTCAGTCTAGGCTGCATGGCATAAAAGAGCATTTCAAAACCCTTATCAAGAATGCATGCTAATAACTGAGGAGTATTCTATTAATCCCTTCCTCTGTGTACTGAATAATCCATGTAGTACTTACCTTTTCAATCTGATAATGCAAACACATGAATGGGGCATTTATTTGCCTAAAATGTCTTACCTTGTGGTATAATCTGTTATTTTCCCATTCTAGTAACTTCTGAATCGATCTTCTGGTCTAAGAAAAAGAATCAAGATTCTGTGAGAAGAGCTGAAGAACACTATTCGCTAAGAACATTATAAGCTATACAAGCTATATGTGTCTGTGTTTTTTCTGTTTTCTTGTACAGTTCTATTAATTTCTTCTCTGGTTTCTCTTATCAGAAACCAGAAAAAAGGCAATGTATGTGACAGAAACCACCAAAAGCAAAGTAACACACTCTATGGTTACCGTATAGCTATAAAAGGAGATCTATCTATCCATCCAGCCAGCCATCAAAATTGAATTTATGTTTTTCCAAATGAAGTATACATATGAATTGTTGTGTGGTACACGGCCACACACTGGACTGCTTATGAGAGCTACAGTGCTAGCAGAACAGCAGCCATTACAGGCTGTTCATGTACCTTTCTCGGGGACTACTTTTTCAGTGAACATTTTACCTTCCAAACGAAGGTGGCTCAGCACAGAAAGTTTTCCTAGCAGAAAGTGAAGTTTGAAATGAGAGAAGCAGTAAGGCGGGGAATAGGATACAGGCTGAGTCTTTCCAGTCAAATCCGTTCAAAAATTGCATGTACTTTGCAGGAAGCCAGAAAAGTTTCTGAAGCTTTAAAAAACACTGTTAAGATTATCAGAAATTTTTGATTCTTACTGTAAATTTTAAAACGTTTCTGATTAAAATAAAAGAAAATCCGGATGTGGTACGCCTCTCTAATCCAAGCATTTGGGAGGTGAATTCCTGTGAGTTTTGGGCCAATCATGAGTCAGCACTACACAGTGAGACCCTGCCTCAAATAAGTAAATAAAAAGGGTAAAAGAAAGGAAGGAAGGACCCACTTGTGCAAAAATTAAAAAGAAAAAATGAGTAGAAAGGTGAAAAAAAATCTGTATTTTGATCATGAGATGAAGCATTATATTGAACTAGCCACACTACTTCAATGCAATATAGAAATAGAGAAAGAAAAATCCCCCAAATTTGTATGGAATCACAAAAGACCCCGAGATCCAGAAGAATCCTGAGAAAGAATGAACTAGAGATATCACATGTCCTAATATGAAATCAGAATCGGAAGGTTACCCAAAGCAGTATGACACTAGGATGAAAGAGACATATGAGCCTGGAGAGAGGGCTCCAAAGTTAAGAGGACTGGGAGTCAGTGTTTGGTATCCATATGGGGAAGCTTACAACCATTTGTAATTCCTACTCCAGGAGCCTGACACCCTTTTCTGTACCCCATGGGTGCCAGCATACATATATGCAAAAGAAACCCAAACCAAAACAACCCCCCCCCCAAATATACAGACCAGTAGAAAAGAACAGGGAGCTGAAAAATAAGTCCACCCACACGTGATCAATTAATTTTCAACAAAAATAGCAAAAGGACACAATGGGGAGAGGATGGCTTCTTGAATGTGGTTGGGAAACTGGATATATGAAGGTAAGAGTGGAGTTGGCCCTAGCTTACATAATACAAAAATTAACTCAGAATGAATTAAAGGCTTAAATATCAGCCTAGAAGCTGTAAAAACTCCCTTTAAAAAGGTTATAAATAATAAGCTTTTTGTGTTGCTCTTGGCAATTTTTTTAATATGACCACCCCCCGCAACAAACAAGCAAATAAAACCCCAAATGAAACAAAAAGAACAGAAAACCCTAGACGCTCCCAGCCCCTATCCCAAACATAAAACCCAGAGAAGGGGAAAGTAAAAAAGAAACAAAAAAGCAACCCACATAAATGTGCGACCACATCTGCAAGTCTGATGTGGGATTCATCTTCAAAGCACATAAGGAACACCTACAACTGAACAGAAGGCAACAACCAATCAACAAGGAACCAGTCCTACCGGTAGAAAAGAAGAGAAAAAAGCTCCCCAGGCTTTTGTCTTAAGCTTATGGTCTTAAGCCAGGTTTTTGTTTCAGGTCAGGAGAATGAGGACAAAGCCAGCCATTTTGGAAGCTCACCACATTATTGCCTCATCAAGGTCCCTCTGTCTGCCAATTCGGGAGTCTGTCTAATTCCTGGTACTCAGTGTAATGACATATGAATCTGTAGGACACTTTGAAGCCATCTTTCAAAGTCTTGATTAGATAGCGTTTGTGGAGACCAGCAGAACCCCAGACGAGGGGCAGGGGAGGGGAAGCGGTGAAACAGGCATTTTATTAGGGTTTGGTGGCATATCCCTTCCATCTGAGCACTCTGAAGGGAGGCAGAGGCAGGAGGATTTGCATGATTTGAGGTCAGCTTGGTCTACATAGCAAATTCTAGGATAGCCAAGCATACATAGAAAGACCTAGACAAAAAAAAAAAAAAAAAAAAAAGCCAGGAACATGTCTATAATCACTGTGTGTTCGAGACCAGCCTGGTCTACAAGGCCAGGACAGCCAAGGCTATACAGAGAAACCCTGTCTCAAAAAACAAAACAAAAAAAAGTAATAAAGAAATGTGCATAAGTATCTAATTTTCCACCAGGCAGTGGTGGCCGAAGCCTTTAACCCCACCACTTGAAGGCAGAGGCAGGAGTTTGAGGGCAGCCTGGTCTACATAAAAAATTACAGGACATTCAGAGATACACAGAAAAACCTTAAATGGGGAAAAAAAACAACAAAGAAACAAAAACTCAACAACAACAACAAATCGAACTTTTCCCAGAGTTTGGTTTTTTTGTTTCACTTGTAGTGATGTCGGTTATTCTGACACCAGGTGGCACTCTAAGCCTAGGTTTCCACTATAGTCTCAGTGACTCAACACGTGGGTCACAAATCCAATACCAGCTATCTGGTGTATTAGATTACTATTACCTTACTGTTCGTATCAGCAGCAAAATTACTGTTACGAAGTAGCAACAAAAATAATTTTATGCCTTGGGGGTCACCATAACATTAGGAACTGTATCAAAGGGTAGCAGCATTAGGAAGGTTGAGAAATACTGGTGTATAAAGCAGGCGCCTGGTAAGGCAGGGAGGTGGCATGTTTGGCAACTTGATTCATTAAGGGTGAGTGCAGCCCTCCACGGTGGTTCACTATTAAATATTTAAGCCCTATTAAAACCATTTTTTTTTTAATTCGTCAATCTACAGCCTGGACAATATAAGTAAGTTTTATAGTATGTAAATTCTTTCTTTAAAAAGTACTTGGAAAAAAATAAACCTGGTGGTGGTGGTGGTGGTGGCGGCGGCGGCGGCGCACACCTTTAATCCCAGCATGTGGGAGGCAGAGGCTGGAGGATCTCTGTGAGTTCGAGGCCAGCCTGGTCACTGTCCAATTGACTATGTATCAAGTTGGTGTCAAGGCCTGCTCTTTGTAACAAAGCTGAAGCCATTTTGTATTCCATCTCCATCTGTTTATAAGGTGAAATTAAATTAACCTTTTTTTTTTTTTTTTCGAGACAGGGTATCTCTGTGTAGCCTTGGCTGTTCTGGACTCCTTTTGCCAGGCTCACAACGATCTACCTGCCTCTGCCTCCCAAAAATGCTGATTACAGGCATGTGCCACTGCACCCAGCTTCAGTTAAAAATTTTTAATTCAGTTTTCTAGAATTAGTTAGCCATTGCGGACACTAACAAGTCCTTGCAGAGGGTCAAGTTAACCTTACATTTTACTTTGACTCATTGGTTCCGTAATTCATACTCTGTTATCTCCACACTTGACTATACGTTGGTTGCACTCCACATTATCTCTGCACTTGGATACACTCTGGTTGCATTCTGGGAGACCCTAACCACCGCCTCACTACCTCACTTGGGACCAATCAGCTTAAAGGTTAACTGATAATACTTTGTCTAGTTGGCCAAAATGTATTACAATGCATTATTGCCCTCCCCTTGTCTTCTGTACTTGGTTTTCCTATTTAAAAAAAAAAAAAACTGCCCTAAGAACAGGTGGATGTCACAGTTTGGCTCCAGAGTCCACTATGGCCCTAACTGCAATAAGTCTTGGGATGTGTGTTCAATAAAGCATCCATATATGACTGAGACTGACTCTGGGTGGTTTGTGTGGCTATTCTTGGGCTACAACAGTTAGCTCAGTATCAACTACTAAGGAAAGCAGATGGAAATCTTACATGCAGCTGAGCATGGTTGTATACACCTTTAAGACCAGTACTCAAGAAGCAGAGGCAAGTAGATCTCTGTGAATTTAAGGCCAACCTGGTCTACACAGTGAGATGCAGGACAGCCAGGGCTATATAGTAACACTCCATCTAAACAAAACAAACAAACAAAAATTGCAAAAAAAACTTATGGAGAAAGGCTGTTATCTAATAGAGCTGACCAAAAAGTAAATGGGTGAACACACTCATTAGCCAGTATATTATTTATACATTATAAACAGAAACATTTTCTTATATATGGCTATGGGCAAATGACTCAAGTTCAGCAAAACATAAAGGCACGGGTTCCACTCCAACCACTGTACAAACTAGGCATAGTGGTACTATAGTAGCAAATCATCCCAGCATTCAGGAAGTGGATGCAGGACCAGAAGTTCAAGGCCATCCTCACTTACATAGTGAGTTCAAGGCTAGCCTGGGATATGAGACATGGCCTCAAAAACAGACAGACAGACCCTTCCAAAAGGTTCAAAGGCAGGCTACAACTAAGTTATAATACTATATGGAATAGCTTCATGTCTTCTTTGCATAAGAGCACACAACATATTCTGTGAAAAACACAGAAATTTTTGAATATACCTTGCAGAGAAAACTATTTGTCTTTCACCACAAAGCCTGATTATTTCTCTATATGATATGACATTATCATTAGTGCTTTCATTTTTACTGTCTTAAAAAAAAAAAAACTTTAATTAGGGGCAAGAGAGATGGCTCAGCGGTTAAGAGCATTGTCTTCTCTTCCGGAGGACCCAGGTTCAATTCCCAGCACCCACACGGCAGCTCACAATTGCTTGTTACTCCAGTTCCAGGAGATTTGACACCCTCACACAGGCATATATGCAGGCCAAACAGTAATGCACATAAAATAAAAATAAATAAATTAAAAATAAAATAATAACAATTTTAAATACTTAAAAAAAAAAAGGAATCAAGCATGATGGTGACCCTCCCTTCTCTACTAGTTCTCTCAATTTATAAAGGCTCAAAGTAATACAAGAGAAAGGGTTAAAGTAGCTTCATTGCAAGGGTGGTGGCATGACCAAGCTTCAGAGCTGAATATGAAACCACTTCCATGGCACATGTAAGAGCAGTAAGTCAAAACCTACCTAACGGTAGCTACAGTAAACTCTCATTAAAGCCCAGCCTTCTCAGATCTTTAGCTTTTATGAGAAGCTGGCTAGATAGTACAAATCTTCTTTTAAACATGATTTCATTCATTAATGAAGTCCCAGGGGCAGAATCTAGGACTTCACAGACACTAGGCAAATGCTGTCTCACTGATCTGTGGTTTCAGTATTCTAATTTTTAAAATGCAGATAGTTACTGTATTTAATTTTTTTTTTTTGGGGGGGGGGGCTGGAGAGATGGCTCAGAGGTTAGGAGCACTGTCTGCGCTTTCTGAGGTCCTGAGTTCAATTCCCAGCAACCACATGGTGGCTCACAACCGTCTATAATGAGATCTGATGCCCTTTTCTGGGTTGCAGGCACTGTATACATAATAAATAAATCCTTTAAAAAAATTAAAATATTTAAAAAAAAATTTGTTGTAGTTTTTTTCAAAGCAGGGTTTCTCTATGTATCCTTGGTTGTGCTGAAATAGCTTTGTAGACATGGTTGGCCTGGAACTCACAATGATGCGCCTGCCTCTGCCTTCCAAGTGCTGGGATCAGATAGTTCTTTTAAACATTCAAGAATGCAGAGAAACGGTTTGGCTCTTGGGGTAATTAATGGTTTACAAATCTACACTGAAGGATCATTTTAGACAGAATCTTATTATAGCCCAGGCTGGCCAGAAACCCACTAGGTAGTCATCGGCAGCCTTGAACTCTTGCTTCCACTGCTTTTGCCTCCAGTGCTGGGATTACAGACTTGTGCTATCATGTGTGCTCTACCTGGTGCTGGAGACTGCAGTTAGGGTTTTGTGCATGCAGAGTAAGCATTCTACCAGTCGATTCTTATTCCTAGTCTGAATTATCATTCTGAAGTGTTTCTTTCTGTTGCTGTTGTTAAAAAAAAAAATGTGCATGTTTAGTGAGGTGCGGTGACGCCCACGCCTGTAATCCCAGCACTCCAGAGGCAGGCGGATCTCTGTGAGTTTGAGGCCAATCTGGCCTACAAAGTGAGTCTAGGACAGCCAGGGCTACGCAGAGAAACCCTGGCTTAAAACCAACCGAACAAAATGTGTATGTGTGTATGTTTGTGTAGCACGTGTCTGATGGTGCTGACGGAGGCCACAATGAAACTTCAGAGCTCTTGGAGCTGGAATTACAGGTGGCTCCAAGTCACCTGAAGTCTGTCTGACATTTGAACTTGCGTCATCTAGAAGAGTAGGAAATTCTTTTAAACCTGGAAGCCCCTGTCAAGCCCCACAAATGATTATTTTTCAATTGTAAGATTAGTAAGATGCACGTATGGCTATGTACACACGTTCGAGGACCCACACGTATGTTCTGGTGCACGAGTTATGTGCATGCACACGGGGGTCAGAAGACTCCATGTGGGTCTGGAGACGGAACTCAGATTTCTCAGGCTCGGCACCTTTGCTAGCTGAGCCATCCTGCTGGCTCTAGTATGAACTCTTACTTAACTAAAGCAACGACAGAAAGAAGGATATCACAGAATCAGCATCATTTCAGTTTTCATTGGATATTCTGTTAGAAATACTCCTAGCACCAACACATGATTGGAAAAAAAAATGTTCCTGTTTCAGGCCCTCGGGTGTAGTTACTGAGAAGGACAAAGCATAAATGAGTCACAGAAGAACAATATCCTTTGTAACATCAAAACCCAAAACCTTGTTTCTAAGTAATTAAGACTAGGAAATCCAAATCATGATTAATTCACACTGAGGCTTTAAAATAATATGGTGAAAGTTATTGATTCTAACTTCTAAAAAAAATACAACTATAAAATTTATGCTGTCAGTTTTTTTTAAAGGTATAGAAAGTCAGTTGAAAATACTATGCTTGCATTGACAAATTCAACTGTATTTCAAACAAAGCTCTGACCTACTGGTGGTTATTAAAGGAATCAGTAGTGTTTAACTTTTTCTTCAAAAATGTCATAGGGGAGCTGGGCCTGGTGAATGCACCCCTATGATCTCGATTGCTTAGGAGACTGAGGGAGAAAGACCACAAGCTCAAGGCCTACCTGGCGCTACAGAGGAATCAGCTGGGCCAGGTGTGTCGTAGTGCTAGCTTTTAACCTCAACACCGAGGAGGCAGAGGCAGATGCATACAAATCTCTGTGAGCTCGAGACCACATAATGAGTTCCAGGCTAGACAGGACTACATAATAAGACCTTGTCTGAGAAAAAAAAAAAATCTGCTGCTTGGCAGTGGTGGCACATGCCTTTAATTCCAGCACTGGGGAGGCAGAGGCAGGTGGATCTCCAAGTCGGAGAAGAGTCTGGGATAGCTAGGAGTACACAGAGAAACCCTGTTTTGAAAAAAAAAAAGAAAAAGAAAAAAGAAGAGAAAAAGAAAGAAAAAATAACACACACACATACAAATCAGCCCGGGTAATTTAATGTGATCCTGTCTCAAAATACAAACAAGGGTTGGGGCTATAACTCAGTGGTAGAGCACCTGACTAGCATATACAATGCTCGAGCTTTAAAAAAAAAAAGTCACTTTATTATCTATCCTTTTGAAGTAGCCATGAGAGAGCTTAAGAGAAAATGCAAGATAAAATGATTATTTCTTGAGAACATTTTCTTCGAGACAGGGTTTCTCTGTTTTTAACTCTGGCTGTCCTGAAACTCATCCTGTAGACCAGGCTGGCCTCACACTCAGAGATCCACCTGCTTCTGCTTCTCAAGTGTTGGGATTAAAGGCGTGTGCCATCCCTGTCTGGCTGAATATTTTCAGTTTATAATACCGTATCTGATCTAGTGGACCAATTGTTAACAAGTTTAAACAAAGCATTAGTATGTACTATGGAAAGAACTTCAGGTAGAATGGGTGTTTATCCTCACTGTATTTAATCATAATTTTTGTGTGTGCACACACATGCACATGGTGTGTCTACATGTATGTGCTGTATATGCACACGTATGTTCACGTGTGTGCTTGTGTACCACTCTAGCTCCATCCCATTTCCTTTTTTTTGTTGTTGTTGTTATTTGTTTTTTTGAGACAGGCTTTCTCTGGGTAGCCTTGGCTGTCCCGGACTTGCTTTGTAGACCAGGCTGGCTTTGAATTCACAGCAATCTGCCTGCCTCTGCTTCTTGAGTGCTGGGGTTAGAGGCGTGTAACACTGCACCCAGATTCCAACCCATTTCCTTAAGACAGAGTCTCTTGCTGATGGCCAGCAAGCATGTGTGACCCTCTGTCTCCACCCATGCCTGGCTTTTGATATAGGTGCTGGGGTTTAAGCTCAGATCCTCACACTTGCACAGAAAGTGCAGTTAACCGATCTTTCCAGGCCCTTTACTCTCAATTTTTTTTTTTTGCTTTTCTTTTTTTTTTTTTTAAATATATACATATTTTTATGTATTATGTATACAAATGCTGTCTGCACAGACATCTGTACACCACAGGAGGGCACTAGACCTCATTATAGATGGCTGTGAGCCACCATGTGGTTGCCGAGAATTGAACTCAGGACCTTTAGAAGAACAGCCAGTGCTCTCAACCTCTGAGCCATCTCTCCAGCCACCCCCCTTTTTTTTTTATTGCCTCACATGGGCTGGGCAAACACTGTAGCACAGATCTATATTTCCAGACCATTAATCAGACTTTTCTTCTTTTTTCAATCTTTGTTTTGTAAAAAAGATTTATTTATTATTTATACAGTGGTGTGCCTGCATGTACACCTGCACGCCAGAAGAGGGCACCAGATCTCATTATAAATGATTATGAGCCACCACGTGGTTGCTGGGGATTGAACTCCAGATCTTTGGAAGAACAGCTAGTGCTCTTAACCTCTGAGCCATCTCTCCAGCCCTAATCAGACTTTTTCAAAGATGTCTTCCCACTGAAGGAAAACAGTCCTAAAATAAAGATAAAAATTTAAAGCAGACAAAATTAAGGCAATACACTAAATTCATGACACAACTAGAAAAGAATGTTATTGTGACATATCAAAGCTAAGGGCTTTCTTCACCTTTGAAGATTGCTGGTCCTTCTGCTTGGCTTCAGAGCCAAAGATGCTCTCCTAGTACACCTGTGGCTCAGAACTCCTTTAAGTCATCCCTTTGGGTTTTCTTTTTAAAGCAATCCTTATATATTTACCTGAGTACATCAATTACATTGCATTTATTTCAAATGGTGGAAGCTCATATCAAGTGATAAAGTATTGAAAAAGGCTGAACAGTGCCTTACTCTCTCTTCCCAGAGTTTCTTTAGCTTTAAAATAAGGACAGCATTGTTCCGGGAATTAAATAAATCATGGAAACAGTTGGAACACAAAGTAAGTGTCCAATAAATGTCAGCTCTTTTTATTGTTATACAATAGGCTGATAATACTCACTCTTTTGTTGAGACAAATAACAGGCCACAGGCTGCACCCCAGGGTGCAGCAGCAGCAGAGACATCCACACAGCAGCCATTTCACATTGACTGGGAGAGCCTTTTTCAAACACGAGTTCACACGGCCAATGCTGGTCTTAAATTCTTCTGGAGCCACCTAAAACAGGGGGACTATATTTAAGAGTTGGTGGACAGCTCCGCACTACCTCTAATCCTAAGGCGAATGTCTTATTACAAATACTTCAACGTCTCAGTACATTCTCTTCCTAAGTCTGTATCATACACTCTTGGATGATATTAGCGAGTAAAGCAATAGAATTTCATGCCTGAAGAAACGGCAGATAATATTTACAATGTTTTGAAATGACCAACAATAAACCGAAAGCAACATGACTCACAGTAAAGGAAACCTATGAAGCATAAGACAAGAACAAAAACCCAAATGACTAATCAGAGGAAATGGTATTAAAATGAGGCACTGCTGATAGTTCTGAATTACTATGAGATAAACCCTTTCTGGCAAATCTGCAATATAATAGTTAAACTTGCTGTTGTTTGCAGAGAATTAAGTACTTGAGCCAGACACAAAGGGCACTAGTATGCCTCCCTAGTCCCAGCTACTGGGGAAGCTGACGCCAAAGAATTTCTTGAGTCTAGGAGCCCAGCAGCCCACCTGGACAACAAAGTAAAATCTTGTTTCTTTACAAATAGAATATGAAAGTTAGGCTCTCCATGGTGGCTCCTATGTGTAATCCCAGCGTGTGGGGAGGCAGAGGCAGATGGATCTCTTTAAGTTCTTGGCCAGCCCGGTCTATGAGGTGAGCCCAGGAGAGCCAAGGCTATAGAGAAACCTTGTCTCAAAATAAAATAAAATTAAAAAAAAATCACTTGTTCTTATCGAGGACCTGGGGTTCAATTCCCAGCACCCATACAGTGGTTCATAACCACAGCTAACTCCAGTTCCAGGGAATACAATGCCTTCTTCCAACCTCTTCAGGCACCAGGTACACTCATGGTGCATGACACAAATGCAAGCGAAACCTCACACATGTGGAACAAATGTAAATAAAAAAAAATTAAAAAAATTAAAATCTAGAAAAAAAGCACTTGAGCCAGACACATTCCCTCATTTCAGATACTCAGGAAGCTCGGTGGCCCACCAGCCCTTCTGGACAACAAAGTAAAACCTTGTGTCTAAACAATTAAAAATTCAATGTTACGATCAGCATCATGGTTCATGCCTGTAATCCCAGTACTCAGGAAGACAGAGTCAGGGGGACCTCTGTGAGTTCAAGGCCAGCCTGGTCTACAAACTGAGTCCAGGACAGTCAGGGCTACACAGAGAAACCCTGTCTTGAAAAACAAAACAAACAAACAAACAACAAAAAAAAAAACAAGAATACACACACATTAATAAAGATTCACTTTAGCGATTAAAAAAGCTTTATTAGAATGGTTTGTGTCACCCATAAGTCCCTGAGCTGGCTATTCTTGTTAACAATGACCAGTTTTGAAGCTGTAGATTTTAAAGCTCAGTTTACATGAGAAAAAATGGATTTCATTCTCTATCTACCCTGTTAACAATATGACAATGCGGCAGGCACTGTGCACCAAGAATTCCAATGAATTTACATTTTTGGGGATAAATATGAAAATAAATTGACAGAATAGTCCTCTGTAATTGAAATCAGAAAATGTTAATGAGCCAAAACTTACTTCTAGTTCTTGCCATGTTTGCGAAAAAAAAAATGCAGGTAAAATCATTTAATCTTTTACAAATATTAAAAATTTTTTAAATAAAAAAATTATTTTATTTTGTTTTTCCAGACAGGGTTTCTCTGTATAGCCCAGGCTAGCCTTGAACTCACAGATATCCACCTGCCTCTGTCTCCCAAGTGCTGGGATTAAAGGCATGTGCCACCACTGCCTGGCTCATTTAATTTTTCTTAATTACAGTTTCTCATAATAAGGTAAAATGGTATAGTCTTTGCTTTTTAAAAATTTTTTATTTATGTATGTATTTTATGTATGTGTGCTTGCAGGCCAGAAGGCATCAAATCCCATTATAGACGGTTGTGAGCTACCATGTGGTTTCTGGGAATTGAATTCAGGACCTCTGGAAGAGCAGCCAGTGTTCTTTTTTTTGAGACAGGGTTTCTCTGTGTAGCCTTGGTTATCCTGGACTTGCTTTGTGGACCAGGCTGGTCTTAAACTCACAGAGATCTTTCTGCTTCTTCTTTCCAAGTGCTAGAATTACAAGCATGTGCCACTATGTCTGGTTAGCCAGTATTCTTAACCACTGATCTCTAACCCCAATTCAGTCACTGGAAATGGAAGTTCCAACTTACAAAGATTTTCTTGGCTGGAATACTTAAAAAAAAAAAAAAGTCTACAAATTACGTCTCAGATGTGGAGAATGAAAAGCTGCTGCCCAACTTCTTTAAAGGCAAAGGGATTGATCAGATGGGCACAGAAAGTCTCACAGTTTTGTTACACATAGATTGTAAATAAAAAGGATAATCTGCCACGCTTTGAAGGAAACTTCAATGCTCTGTAGTTCTTGAGTTTTTCAGACATAGTCCTCTTCTCTGCTTCTTTCCTCTCCTTTCCTCTCAAAACCAGGGATGGAACTCAGAGGTTAGCCCACACTAAGCAGATAGTATACCACTCAATCTACCTGCATTCCTTTGATGTTCTTTTTAAAAACAAAGTGCCAAGTTACTATGAAAAGATTTATCTGTCCCAAACAGCAGTATTTAATTTCTTTTTCATCACAGGTAATCACCCAATAACCCAGTAACAGTTAAAAAAAAATATATTTTCCATCTCAGAGGATTTTTCATTGCCACCTTCTACTTGAGCTAAGGGACACACAGAATTCTGTGAGGGACCAGAGTTCTTCCCTTAGGCACTAACTCTTACTCTCTCATAACTATGTAACACTGGTTTCTCCTATATATAAGCTGTGATTTTTTTTCCTTCTGTGAGAAAAATATTGAGAGTAAATGAGGTAACAACTATAAAGCTACTTAGCATAATTCCTAGTGTACACTGGGCCCTCAGCAAATGTAGCTATTGTCTATATTTAATGGGGAGAATACAGGCAAAATAAAAGTCTTAATTTGTGCTCTTTAAGCACTTAAATACTATTGGCCTTGCAATGTGTATGTATATATACATATATAAATATATATATATTTTTAAATATGAGCCTTTATCTCACTGCCTAGGAATGTTTAGAGAACAGCTTTTTTCTACTATCTTATCTTTTATTCCTCCTTCTCTCAAAAAAGAAAATCTGACTGGATATAACTGTAGTTATTCTATGATGCAGGTAATTTTGCTTTGTTTTTGTCGTTGTGAAGAACAAAATTACTTTTATAGCTGAGCGTGATGGTGTACACTTTTAATCCTAGCACTGGGGAGGTCGACACAAGTCTCTGTGATTTTGAGACCAGCCTGGTCTACAAAGTGAGTTCAGGACTGCCAAGGCTACACAAAGAAACCCTGTCTCAAAAAACAAACAAAAAATACTTTTATACTATGACAACATATTAAAAATATCATCTTTTCTATCTCAGATGAAGGTAATTTTGCTTCAGAATGGTTATTCAGTGAGGCTCACTCAGTTTGCCACCTTAAGGTCACTTCCACACCAGCTAGAGACCCTTCTTGACCTGGCTGAATCGCCTGGACCATGCTAGTAGCATAGAAACACATCCAAGTGGCCTGGATAACTGCATTTCTGGTGTCCTCGCCATTTTCTAAAACTGACTTCTAGTAGTATGCAAAATGGTCCCTAACAGTAAGAGCTAGGGATGTTCTACAGTGTTGTCTTTTTAAGATCTGCGTTGTTAGAAAATGTTACATTTATTTGTGTATGTGGCTATATAAGGCAACCTGCAGGAGTTGGTTGTGTCTACCATGTGGCTCTTGGGATTTAACTGTGGTTGTCCGTTGTATGACTTGTTGGCAAGCAAGCACCTTTTACCCACGGAGCCACCTTGCCAGCTTTGAAACTACCTTTTTAAAAGTTTGTAATTTTCGGGTGTGCATGCCTTTAATCCCAGCACTCTGGGAGGCAGAGGCAGGTGGATATCTGTGAGTTTGAGGCCAGCCTAGTCTATAAAGCCAGTCTAGGACAGCCAAAGCTACAAAGAGAAGCTCTGTCTTGAAAAACCAAAAACCAAACCAAGCCAAACCAAACCAAACCAGAAGAAAGAAAGAAAGAAAGAAACAAACAAACAAATGTCAGTGTCCCACATTATGTAGGCTCTTGATTTAAACTTTTATTTAAAAACTAGTATGCAAAAAAAACTAGTATGCAAATATAGATGAGAAAATTTAAAGTAAACAGTTACACCAGAGATAGAAATGAATCTGTCCAAAAGAACAAAACAGTGTATAAGGATTCTGAAAACGTTTCTTTTTGGCAGAGAATAACAGTATTGGAAAACTGAGGGAAGGGAAAGCAGGCTTCCAATCTGAAACATGTGAATGAAATCAATTATATGCCATGGTATACGTAGTTTATTAGGGAACTGTCTTTCATTACATGTTTCAGAAAATGACAACACCAGCCAGCACTCCTCAAGTTGGGCAATTTGCCTCTTCCAGGACTCTACTTTTAACAGATACTCTCTTACTACGGACAAATGAAAACTCAAATGTTCAAGATACTAAAAATGAGAAATCAAATGTTGGCTCACAAGACAAATATATTGAGAAGAAAAGCTTTCACTAGACTCTCAAACAACACACTACTTTAAAAAGATGCCAGGACTGGCTTTTTTTTTTTTGGGGGGGGGAACCTTGCATTTGAGTATAAAGGTGTAAGAGAGATAGAGAGTGAGAATCAACTGCCAACTTTAAATACGGAGAGAAATGTTGGGTTAACTGTAGATTCCCCGTTAGTCCTGCTGGACTCATTTGCTTGTATACAACTGTTTCTAGTGTTGAATGTCGGCTGGGAGCCTCTGACTTGCTAGCTGGACAGTAGGTTGTAAAGAAACATGTCATTCCTTTTGACTCTCTTGGAAAGAAAAAAGAAAACAACATCATTGAGGTGGGGGAAAGGGTCATAATATTTTATAACAGGATGCAGGACACTCTGCAAACAGACTTGAAGCAAAGCCCAGCAGGACTGATTTGCTTCCCTCATTGTGAGGGACACAGGCCTATCAATCACTTGTCATATTGGATCACAATAGAGGAGGTCAATTTTTATGGCTTACCATTCTCAACACTACACACTCCTCTCCCCGTAACACCCTTCCCTTCTTTCGAGCTCAGGGCCAGACACTTTCATTCCTTTTTTAAAACCTATGTGCTCTTTCACTTGCCGGTCACCAGAATCTGTGTATTATACACGCACACCTACCGAACTTGTCCTATCACAACGGGAGAACTTACCTTAAGGGAAAGAGGGCAATCAATCTCTTCTGCACTTACAAGAATTAACACAAAAGAAGCAAAACGGTAATACTGAGTTCTGGAGGTTCCAAAATGGCCTTTTCGATTTTCCTAATTTGCTGTAATCTTGTTTCCTTCAAGCCAGCTACTTAGATAATCTCACTCATGCCGAAAGACTGATATTTACAAAGGGCAATTCTTTTCGGGTAGGGATTACACTTACCCATTTTAAGACAATTTACAGAAGGAGTATTAACTTGGGAACGAGGACCTTTTAAATTAGATTTTCATATTTATAGAAGACCCAGCCTTATTACATAAATGGTTTAATAAGCCACAATAATCTATATTAATGAAATATTGGTATACAAAGATTGGACACAAAGATACTCATTAAGGAAAGAAAACTTGTGTTTATATTGTAAACATGTAACTTTACAAATCAGACCATCCGGAACTAGAGATGAAGCTCAGTGGCGGAGCATAGGCTCAGTGTGAGCAAGGCACTGGACTTGGTCCACAGCAACAAAACAAACAAAAACAAACAAACAAGCAAACATACGTCAGACTTTCAGAATTATTTTTAGTGCTTTTCTCATTGTTAAACACACATTAAGAAAACATTGTACTATCCTTTCTGCATTCCCCAATACAGGAGAACATGCATACAATACAAATAACACAGATTTGAACATACAGCTGTATATCATGTATGATGTATACTATAAAAATAATCACCTGAAAAGAATAGATGTTTTAGCCAGGCATGGTGACTCATGTTTGTAGTCATAAGAATTAGAGAGAGCTGAGGCAGGAGGATTGCCACAAGTTTGAGACCAGCTTGGGTTATGTAATGAATTCCAGGCCAGCTTGGGATATATAACAAAACTTTGTTACTAAAAAAGAATGACAAACAGATTAAAAAAAAAAATACATGTTTTCAAGAACAACTCCCATCCAGATCATCTAGGTTGTATGAATGAATACCAAAAGCAGCTTATCATTCTTAGAACTCTGATTTAAAAACCTCCTAGAATCTTCTGGGTCAATGGAATTTTTAGTTCCAGAAAATTTGGAAAGGAATGAAGAGGTCTGAAAAGATATTTAAAAGACTACTTCAGCACAAAAATGGCCAGTTTTTAAAAATGTATAATACTTATGCTTGGGAGCTATTATTTACTGACAGTTTTGAAGGTATTCATTTTCTAGAATTATAATTTTAAACATGTAAAAAAAAATAAACTAGTATTAAAGCTGGATGTAATTTCCCAGACAACACATGCAGTAGCATTAAGGGAAATATAAATAAATTTTCTATTGGAGATGTTTTGTTTTATTTTTTTAATTAATTTATTTTTTATTCACTTTACATCCTGGTTGTAGCCCCATCCCTCCACCCCTTCCAGCCCTACCTTCAGTCCCTTCCCCCTCCCTCTGGCCTATTCCTCAGAAGAGGGGAGCTCCCTCTCTTATCCACCCTAGCTCATCAAGTTGCATCAGGACTAAGCATATCCTCTTCACCTGTGGCCTGTTAAGGCAGTCCCGCCAGGGGCAACTGATCAAAAAGCTGGCAAGTGAGTCCATGTCCGACATTGTCCCCAATTTCCTTACTAGAGTACCTACATGAGGCCTAAGCTGCCATCTGCTACCTCTTTGTAGGGGGCCTAGGTCCAGTTCCTGCGTGGTCCTTGGTTGATGCTTCAGTCTCTGCAAGCCTCTCTGGGCCCTGCTTAATTGGCTCTGTTGGTCTTCTTGTGGAGCTCCTGGCACCTCCAGGTCCTTCTATCCTTCCTCCCCCTTTTCTGCAATACTACCTTACACATCGCACAATGTTTGGTTCTGCATCTCAGCATCTGTTTTGAGGAACTGCTGGATGGAGCCTCTCAGAGGACGACTCTGTCAGGCTCCTGTCTGCAAGCTTAGCAGAGTATCCTTCATAGTGTCGGGGCTGGCTCTCTCCTATAGGGTGGGTCTCAGGTTGGGCCAGAAATCTGTTGGGCATTCCCTCAATCTCTTCTCTATCTTTATCCCTGCACATCTTGTAGGCAGGGTAAATTTTGAGTCAAAGTTTTTTTGAGTGTGTTGGTGTTCCCCACCCTCTACTAGGAGACTAGTCTAGTTAGAGCATGTTCTCTTCAGTCTCTATGGTTTCTGCTACTTAAGAGTCACTCATCCCAGGAGCCTACACTGACCTAGGTCTCCAGCTTGTCACAGAGATAACCCCACCTTCAGTTTCTCTTTTCTCTACAGGCCTCCTGACATCTCACCCCCACTCTCCCCAGCTTTGATGTTTTGTTTTACATTGTTTTTTAATTTTAATATTAAAGCTACCATGATCTTACTAATATGTTATTACTGAGGAGATATTTCCATGTTTAATTTTATACACTTAAAGAAAAATTTTATAAAATATATGTAAGCCTTTAAAAAAGATTTATTGGTGTCTGTATATAGGTGTTTTGTTTGCATGTAAACCTGCCATTTGCACACCAGAAGAAGGCATGGGATCTCATGGGAGTACAGCTATAGACAGTAGTGAGCTGCCTTGTAGGTGCTGGGAATTGAACTCAGGATCTCTGGAAGAACAGCCAGTGCTCTTAACTGCTGAGCCATTTCTTCAGTCCAATACATCTAAGTTTAAGCTACTGCTGCCCTTTGTGAAGAATTCTGAAAGATTAGGAGAGGAAGGTAGAGCATACTAGAAACCGAAGCCAAACATTTACACCAAAGAAATATTGTCTCTCTTTCTCTCTATGTCTCTGTCACTGTCTCTCTCTCTCTCTGTGTGAGCACGCGCTTGAGTATGTACTCACCTGTGTGTAGGTGTGGAGGCCAGAGTTTGACTTCAGGTATCTTCAAAGCTCTATCACTCTCTATTTTTTTTTTTTTTTGAGACGGGGCCTGTCAATGAACCTGAAACTCATCATCTCTGCTAGACTAATTGGCTAGAATGTATCCCGTAGGATCTGTCTGTCTTCACTATCCAGTACTGGGTGCTGGGGATCTGAACTCAGGTTCTCATGCTCGTATAGTAATCACTTTTTGCCCACTGAGCCATCTTTCCAACCTGATAGCATTTCTGTAGGAGAATTGTTCCAAATACAGTACTTTAAAAAAAGGTAACTAGTTTTCTGAAGAGCAAAGATTCTAATCCATCCTGTAGAATGAGTAATGAACATTGGTGGAGCCCTACTTTGGCCCTCTTATTCCCCATGGATGTGGAGGCGTTGATCGTGCTCTTTACAGCTCAGGGTCACAGGCACGACGAGGAGCATGTTTTGTTGTGCTGAAGAGCAAGGTGGCTGCAGTCAAGAACAGTGTACCTTTCAAGACTCCTCAAAGAAAAGATTTTAATTGTTTGTACCTCAGAAGCATAATACATATTTGAGGTGGTGGGTGTGGAAGATTTGATTATAATGTCTGTATGTGTCAAAATGTCACACTGTGACCAATAAATGTGTACAATGAAAAAAAAAAAAGGTAACGTACAACACACTCCTGTTTCTTCCTTCCTTCCTTCCTTCCTTCCTTCCTTCCTTCCTTCCTTCCTTCCTTCCTTCCTTCCTTCCTTCCCTCCTTCCGTTTTTGAGACAAGTTCTAAGTAAACCATGCTAGCTTGGAACTCATGATCCTCTTGAATGCCAGTGCTGTTTACAGACCTAGGCCATCACAACAGTTCAAGATATTTTTAATAAATATATATACATAGTGAAATAATTACAACAGTCAAGCAAGTTAACATTGCTCCTTACATCGTTATTTATCATTTTCTTTAGAGAACCTGAAATCTGTTCATTGGGTAAATTTTCAGTACATAACACAGTATTATTGATAATCATCATGCAGTACATTAATCTAGACTTATACATTTGAATCCTGCAAAGCCTGAATTGTGACCATGAATGCTTGTCTACGCAACAGGACATAGAAAAGTAGTTACTTATTGCTGTGAGTATAATTTTAGAAACTCAATCTGAAAGGAAAAGAATAACATTTAACCAAAAATATGATGGCTTTTGATTGTAATAAATGATGCATACCATATTAACATTTAAAAAATAATAGTGACTCAGTTAAAAAGATAACTTTGGCAATAAAGATTGGAAATTATAGATCTAAATAACAATTACAGCTACCAATGCTAGGTAAAAAAGGCAACACTGGACAAACTGAACAGGTAAACAAACAGTGGCTGACATTAAGGGAGAACAGACACACTAGCTGGCCGGAGGCTGGTAGTCATGGAAACACCATTTAGTCACTATGAGCACAGCTTCCATGCAGGGAGGCCTCCTGTTATTTGGCTTCATTACCCGTGAGAATTACCAGTGAGTCAAAGCATTTGTCATAACATTGAATAAACCATAACGCACTGCATTAGAACTGGCAAATTCGAAGCAAACCCACTTACCTTCCCTGTCAGAACTGACGGAAATTCTGTATCAAACTTGTTGCTCAATCCAAACCTTAAAAACAAAGACAGAACAAAATCTATTCTATTTAGCATGTTTAACCCTTGCTCACAGTAAGTTATAAAGCACGCAGTTTTCTTTTGATCTTCAGGTTTAAAATGTGTCTCAAATATGCACAACTTTATGATGTATGTGCTAGTTAAAACCAAACTTAATGGATTTAAAAAATCCATACATAAATCCTAAAAAAATAACACTAAATCAAACGGATTATGTTCTGAATAAAACTTTACAGGCAGATCTCTGAGTTCGAGGCCAGTCTGGTCTACAGAATGAGTTCTAGGATGGTCAGGGCTACACAAAGACACTCTGTCTTGAAAAAATCAAAACAAAAAGCTGAGCAGTGGTGACACATGTCTTTATTCCCAGCAGAGGCAGGCACATCTCTATGAGTTCGAGGCCAGCCTCATCTACAAAGTGAGTTTCAGGATAAGCCAGGGCTACACAGAGAAACTCCTGTCTCAAAAAAATAAAAACAAACAAAAAAATGGGAAAGAAGTAAAAATATACTTCTTTTACCTTTTTTAATATAGTTTTTATATTTTAGAAGAGGATTCATTTTTCTTTATATTAAAGAATAGTAACTATTATTACTTTTTAGTTCTCACTACTTCTTAACTAGATGTGAATTCGACTTTAGGCAAAAGGATTACATGAATTTTAAAATGTTTTTGGGTGCTAGGATTAAAAGCATGTGCCAGCAGGAATATCAGTGTCCTTGTCCAAAAAAAAAAAAAAAAAATGGGGATGACAGTACGTTTCTTGGAGGCCTTCAACAGTTTGAAGTAACGCACTTAACATATCATGTAGCCTGGGAAGCTAGTCCTTGATGTCTGTGCCTATCGCCTTCCTTTCATGGAGTCCTCAATGTTAGCTTACTTTCTTTTTTGTTTGCCTACAGCCACTGACATAAAACTCTAAGTTATTCTGATATGGGATTGTCTGACATTCAGAAAGTGACTTAAGTCATCCCTAGTCAATTCAACAAGTAGATGAAGAAAGGCCTATAAAATTCCTCTTGATTTTATTACATATTATACTGAACATCCTGAAAGAAAAAAATCTTAGAGGTGGGGCATCTCTTTTCTCAAACTGGTTGGGCAAATAAAAGGCATTTAAAAAGATCTTTGTTATTGTTATTTCGAGACAGGGTTTCTCCTGTAGCCCTGGCTGTCCTAGAACTCACTCTGTAGACCAGGCTGGCCTCAAACTCACAGAGATCAGCCCAATTCTGCCTCCTGAGTGCTGGGATTAAAGCTGTGGGTCACCACACCCAGTTAAAAAGATCTTTTAATTGTCTGAAGAGTAACTGGTCACAACTTATCAAAGTAGAGTTCCAAAGTCTTCATTAATGGGAAGAGGATATTTTTTAAGGAAATATTATAGGTGGATATATATACATATATATCCATTATCTATCTATCTATCTATCTATCTATCTATCTATCTGTCTGTCTGTCTGTCTGTCTGTCTGTCTGTCTGTCTGTCTGTCTATCTATCTATCCATCTATCTATCTCCATATATACACATGGATAAAAGTGCTGAGAGTAAAGGCGTGTGCCACCACTGCCTGGCCTTAGTTTTATTCCTTAAAAACCTCCTTTATGGGGGCTGGAGAGATGGTTCAGAGGTTAAGAGCACTCACTGTTCTTCCAAAGGTCCTGAGTTCAATTCCCAGCAACTTCATGGTGGCTCATAACCATCTATAGTAAGATCTGGTGTGCAGGCAGAATGTTGTATAAAAAAACAACAACAACAAAAAAACCCCTCCTTTATGAGCAACATATAGCTATCTCTTGGTATCTGTGGGAGCTTGGTTCTGAGTGCCACATTGGATAAAATAAAATCCTTGGAGACTTAAGTCCCTTACACTAATTTTTATTAAACTGTAATATTTATTTGATTTTATTATGCATATATTTTGCCCACATGTGTGCCTGTGCACCATGTGCATGCCTGGTACCCTTGAAGGTCAGAAAAGGGCGTCGAATCTCCTGGAGTTAGAGTTACTGGTGGTTATGAGCATCCATGTGAGTACTGGGAGCGGAATCTGAACTCCATTCTGAATCACTACATTCTGAAATAATACATGTAGTGAACTCTACATTACAGTACTAAGGCAAAGTTGTTTGTAAGAACAGCAAGTGCTCTTAACTGCTGAGCCATCTCTGCAGCCCCAAGTTCCTTATATCAAAATGGCATATAGTATTTGCATGTAACCCATGTACCTCCTTCCGTATTCTTTACAGCATTCTAGTAATAGCTAATGCAATTGCTATGCAAATCATTGTTATATTATATTGCTTAAAAAGTAACAAAAAGAAAATGTCCATATACGCTCAATGTAGATGGTAAATTTTTTTCAAGATATTTTTGAACTGCAAATAGTTGGATCTGTACAAAACCTATGAGTATGGAGGGTAAACTATTTATCTATACCATAAAATATACAGAAGCTGGCATAGTGGTATATACCTATAGTTCCAGGATGACGTAGGACAGGGAGTTCAAGACCAACCTGGGCTACAAGAGTGAGTTCAAGGTTAACCTGGACAATATATTGAGGATCCATCTCAAAAACCAAACACCAAAGCCTAGGGAAAAGCAAACCAGATCCACTACTCTCATAATTTTGGCTAACAAGGAATAGCCATCCCGTTCTCCCTTAACAGGGATTTCTTTCTTAATTTTGTTTTCTTTGTTTAACACTGAGGACATAAAAACAGTGCTTAATTCAAATTACCTTAATTCTGGGGGTTTCACTGAGTAGCTACAAATAAAATACTGAAATAACTGTGGCTTAATAAATACATTTTCTCTGTTTCATAAGCAAACCATGAACTTAAGGAAGTGTCTCTACCAAGGTTACACAAATGCATCTATTCATTACTCATCAGTGATAGGCATTAGCCAAGATGTGGCACTCTTTTGCATTAGACAAAGAGGCACTTGGGAACTCCTCATAAAGTCATTTTATTGACTTTATTAAATATAGTGTCTATTATGTGTTTGAAGTTGACCAAGCTGGTGGTTGTCAATGATTTCATTTTCTTTAAGTGTTTTCAATGCCCCTACATTTTATTTTCTTGGAACAATTCTTTGGATTATAGGAAATGGAGGCAAAAAAAGGATGGATCCGTTTCTTTATTTTTCCCTTCCTCCCTATACACTTGCTTTTCATTCTTGTAAAAATGACTGTTTTCAACCATGTAAGACCTTGCATAAATGAAAGCTCATGTGGTCAGGTTAAGTATCGGTTCAGTCAAATTCTCCGTTTGCTACAAAGCTATGTACTTAATAATACTGATGCTAAAGTACAGGTAGTCAACTCTATTGTACTAAGGCAATGGAAAATGATGCCATAAAATACAGAAGCTTTTTTTTTTTTTTTTTTTGAAGATTCTACTTAGATCTCCTTAATCTTTCTTACCAGATTACACAATGGCTTAAAGCTTTGCAAAATAGTTACCTGATTGTTTTCAATGTTGGGGATTGAACCTGGGCCTTGCTCCTTCTAGGCAAACCCTTTCTTTGAACCCAAATATTCACCTTCCATAAAGTCAGATTAACAATGAGTCACTGTAATTTCTCAATGACAGGTAAGAGAATGGTATGCCATTCTTTGTCTGTGAAGTGTCTCTAAATTTGTTTAGAAAAGTACTGTTTATAAATTTAACTGTTTTGATTCTATATCTAATGAGACTCCCTGAAAACTGGTAATCCAGCAATTATCTCAACTAACTTCCATATAGGAACTCTAGCAAGGGCCGATATCCACATTTTAAGTAATAAGAGTATGGTCATATTTATAAACACAAAGAAAAAAAAATCTCATCACAGCTGTTTTCTGTATTTCAATACACCATGCCCCAATATTTATCCTAAAAAAAAGTATAACTCATACATACAGTATTTCTGAAATACTTCATACTTGCAAGTGACATTCATTATGTTGTTTCTAATAGTCTCAAATCTGTGGGAGTTAATTTAGGAATTTTTTTTTTTTTAAATAGGGTTTCAATATGTAGACTAGGCTGGCTTCTAACTCACAGAGATACACTTGCCTTTGCCTCCCAGTGCTGAATTAAAGCTGTGCACCACCACGCCTGGCTTCACTCTGCTTCTTGTGCTATTACAATTCATTTCATATTAACATTAATATTTTGTTAAAATCACCAGAAGTCCAAAATACTAAGATGATAAAAGTGAATGGAGAACCCTGGTACACAGGGGTTAACTTAACAGAGCTTCATAGAGGAATGTTGATTCCATCAGCTGGAGATTATCATAATCCAGCACTGGGATTATGATAATATCACAGCTATGTAAATTCTCTTTACAGCATGATTCAACAACCTAGCATTTGTTGAGGGCCTATAATATAGTTTGCATAACAATGGGCATAGACTATCACTAAAATGAACCAACATTCATTGAACTTACTTAAACAGGTGTTATGGTAGGCACTGAAGATTCAAAGGGAATGAAAGATGGTTCTTGTTGTAGCTTACAATTTAGCAAGGGCAAAGAAGTGATTGCAAATGGTAACACTGGGATAGTTACGATGAAAGAAGCTGTGTATTGGCATTTAGAATGGAGGCACTAGCTTGAACAGACATATAAGACAAGAAATAACATGTTATGATGAGTAGCATACAAGCAGCAAAGGACATGGAAGGAGACAATGGAGATAGGTTAAGTCTAGTTCTGTATGCTACGTTCCAGAGCTTGGACTCTACCCTGATAATGAAGCAGAAACCAGGCTAATCTTAAGAAGGAGAGCAGTTCAATTAGATTTGTGCTTCTGGTGTTTTAATCAAGCAACAGGCTGAATGAAAAATACATGTCAGGCAAATAAACTATTATAAAACTATGTATACTCTCAGTCTCTGACCATGGTAATCTCACTGAGACCAGATTCTTCACAGTTAAGGTGGCAGAATCCAGATCAGAGGAAGTAAATATGGCATCTGCATGTACTTTTAAGAAATTTGGAAAAGGAAGAGAGATTAGATAGCAGCTAATGGGGATGTGGGTATCAGAAGATTTTTGTCTTAGAAGGATTGAATATAATTACAGAACAATCTAGATTCTAGAGGCAATCAAAGAGAGGCGCTATTGGTTATGGTACAAAACCTTGAGAGGAGGCTAGAAAAGAAGGGTGTGGAAGGCAGAAGAGAAGAGTTTTAGATAAGGAGCGGGACTCCTTGAATTCTGAGGTTGGGAGAACTTGGATCTAATTATAATCCAATGCAGGTTTGCAGCAGTACAATGACACGATTAACTGGAATTTTAAGAAAATTAGTTTGGCACAAGCATGCACGATGAAATTGGGAGAGGCAGCAGACTGTGCCTATAATTCAAGAAGGAGATGATGGCAACTCAAACAACAGTAGTGCCAAGTAGAAATTGAGAAAATGAAATATCTAAGCAAATTTCCAAATCTATGATGACATAATTCTGGGAAAATCGGACATAGGGCAATTCAAGGAGAAGAGTCAAAACGACTCAAAGATTTCAAATATTACCCTGGGAGAGTAGAATTTTGGTGTCACTACTACAAATGTGGCAACTGGAAATACAACCCAAGAGAGGAAAAATGCTGAGTTTAAGATATACTGAGTTAGAATCAGGTTAAGCATATCTATTGCCTTAAATATTTATATCTTACTCACGGTGAAAAGCTACAACATACTTCTTCCTCTTAAAAAATCCAGTTGATGGTAACAGCTCTAAAATTTAAACTTTGAATAGAAGTAAAATCTTCTATAGGTGAAGACTGCGCAGAGAACAGAAAACAGTCAGCATATAAGAGAACAAGAAATAGTTCACTCCCATAAGTAGGTATAAGGCCAGGGGTGTAGCTCAATGATACAGCACTCGCCTGAAGGCACAATGCTACAGTTTGAGTTTCATCACCACAAAACCCAAGAAAACCAATCCAACATGTAGTTTAGAGCAGTGAAGATATGCCATGAAATGTAATTTTTTTCTAGACATGTCAGAAAAAAGAGAAACAATTGGATACTTTAGATGTATCAAATTAAGATTATTTCTTAAAAAATTAATTCATTTGACATATGGAAGGTTCTGTTATTATAGTTCATGTCTCAGATCCCAACCAAACATTTTTATTAACAACAGGGCCCCACTCTGTAATCCAAGTTGGCCTGGAAACCATTATGTGACCCAGGTTGGCCTTGAACTCATAGCACTCTCCCTGTCTTAGTCTCTCAAATGATGGCATCACAGGCATGAACCACCATGCCTGGTTTTTAGCACACCTTCAAAGCAGTTAATCTTTTACTTAAACTGTTAGATATTTAGCATCAAATGTTCTTCCTAAATGAGAATATGTATAGAATAAAATGAAATAATTTTCCAAACTATGTTCATCTCTAGTTATTTAAGTATTGGTTTATGCTTTTCAGACTTTCCTTCAAACAATAAATACCAAGACACTACCAGTGCTATCTATTTACACTTAACTCCAGAAGTTTTTAACTGAGGCTGAGGGGTGGCCCAGGGAATTACACCTATAAGGGACTAGACACAACAAATCTCAGTGTTCCATTTTAAATGAAGAAAGGAAATTGGTTGTGTGGAGAACAGAATGGAGCCACAAGGAAGTTTTAGAGAACTTAAATTATGCTTTCTTGCTATGTACTCATTGTTTGAATTTCAGAAAAAATAATGGGGAATTTGGAACATAAAATTATGGATCAGCATATAGCATATCTTTTTCTCTGTTTGGTCATGTAAAATAAGCTGCATAAAAGGAACTCTGGGCACCAGAATCATAATTAGTTTGAATAATGGTCTACCTAGTGACAAAAGGAATGGAGGTAAAACAGTGCAGTGCACCTAAACATTGCAGGTTATCTGAAAAAAATCATAGATGGAGAAAACCTATTTTAAAATTATCTAATAAAAAACAAGGCCTACAATTCTCCCCAAGGTTTCCACAACTGAAAAATATTTGTTAATACATCAATTTGATGATCTAAAAAGTGTATTACAGTTAAAATAGTTAACATGCTAATAATTAAAAGATAACATGATTGAGGATTTGGTACATAATGTGTGATTTCATGCAAGCACTCAATTGAGTCAAAGGAACTATGTGGGCCAAGATCAAAATTAAAGATAGTCTGACATGATGAGAAGGAAGAAATGTGGTTTGAAAACAAAGTGAAAGACACCTCGTTGAGAACATGAGCACAACAGCATATTCATAATTTCAAGTATTTACAATTTAAGCAAATCAAAATGAGGAAACACTCTTCAAAGCCCAGAGATAATTTTGTCTTCTTTTGCTGTACAACCAAGATGATAATGAAGTCTTTGCACACTTTATTTTTCAAAGATGATAGAGGGTTTCAATTTAAAAGAATCCATCCTGGATGAATTTTAAAGAAATCATCTTCAATTCATCAAGGGTTAATTTCTCTACATATTTAATGTTTGTATATTTAGTGTTTGGACACAGAAGATACCCTGTAGACATCTTAAATTATTTCAGAGCCAAAGGGGTTTAGAAACCACACAGTCCAAACCCTTCATTTTGGAGATGGGAAACCCAAGGCCTGGAAGTAAGAATCAACTGACCAAGGTCATAGGCCAGTGGGAAGAGAAACTGAGAATAGCAACCAAGACCTCTCACTCAGTATCCATTGCTCTTTCTACTTTGCATAGATTCCTATCAACCTGAACCTCTCAGGATCTGATACTAAAGGGACGTCAGAGTAGTGTGTTCAACAGAGAAAGGATGACGATATTCATTCATAAGCATTAGGTAGGAGGAATGGATGGATAAATATGTGGGTGGACGAATATTTATATTATTCACAGAATGCATCACATTTTTGTTTTGAAGAATCCAAACGTAGATCTTTTCACGTCACAGCAGTCACCGTTTTCCACCATCCATCAGTCTTGGCAGCAGAGAAGCCTAGTGCATCCTGCAGTTTAGACTATTCACTGCCAGCACGCGAACAAGCGGATCACCCCTACTCCACTGTTTCTGGCTCTCCACCCCGCAACGACATGTCCTACACTCTTTCCTCGGGGTCGATACAGCAATCTCCCCACTTGTTTTATACGACACCTATTCAACCTGCGGTTTCATCATTTAGACCAGGTGTCCTTTGCTAACAGTACGTCTCAGTCAACCCTCCCCCACTCCGCAGGCCCCTCAATGCCCTTCTCATTCGTCTGTCACCAAATCTCAGCTCCTGCAAGCCCCCGGTCCCAATCACTTACACAGTGATGTGGCCAGCGCCGCGCACCAACACAGGGTCTGGGGCATATCTCCGCAGATGCTCCTCGCTCACTACCCGAGGCGGGGGCGTCACCTCCTCCTCCTCCTCTTCTTCTTCTTCTTCCTCCTCCTCCTCTTCCTCCTCTTCTTCCTCCTCCTCGTCTTCCTCGTCCTCATCGGGCCCAGATACGGACGAAGACGACGAGGACGACGACGACGACGATGTTGCTGCCTCTTCTTCCTCCTCCTCCAGTTCCGAGATGGTGTCGAACTCCGCCATGTTGGGCAGCAGGATGCTCATCACGTGACCTCGCGATCACCGCCACTCTCCGGGAGAAGAGTTTGAACCTGTGGAGCTGCTGGGAGAGGAGGGGGAACAGACTGAAGAGAAAGAGGAGGGGTTAGGGAAAGCACTTGAGGAGACGCGCCTGCGTGTTGGGCAGACAGCGCGGGGGTTGGAGGTGGGGGCGTGGGGGCCCAGGGAGTAAATTCAGTGTACGCTTGCGCGCCTCCAAGGGGAGCGGGCCGGTGGAGGTGAACTTCAGGGAGTTCCCGAGGTCCGGTCTGCGGGGGCTGATTTTCATACTGCGTTTTGGACAACAGTCTCTTGTACACAGGGGACATACATTCTCGTTTTAGTGTCTGTTAATTAATGCGGGATATATTTACCTCTATGCAGGCAGGGATAGCAAATTCTATAAAAGCGAGTTTAGGACTTTGTCCAAAATATCTAAAGGTACACATATGTCAATCCCCTGTATAGAGGCTGTTAAATCCTGAGAAAAGGGTAAACATTTTTATTAACATTTTACAAAAGAAGAAACTCGCAATTTCTTATGCTGAACGTTACTTTGGGGACTTGCTAAGTATCACAGACTGTGCTAAGTGCTCTGTTACATGTATCATTAAATCTCCACAACCCTATGAGGGGTGTACCATATGGATTCTCTTATCACACAAGGGGAATATAGATACAAAGAGAATCTAGAATACAAAGTTGTCCAAGGTCATAGAGCTAGTAAATGATATATGAGCTTTTAAATTCGGAGTCTCTTCTGACTCCCAAAGCCCTGTACTGTTAGCCAAACAGCTACAGTGCCTAAAGTTGCTTGGAAAGGCTGGGTGGAGTGGTTCATTTTGGTTAGTTCTTATGAATAAGAATCTGCAGGTTTGGTATTGAGGTTTTGAAGCCGGACATAGTGGCACATGCCTCTAACTCCAGCACTTGGGAGGCAGAGGCAGGAAAATCGTTGAGGAAGGCTAGCCTAGTCTACAGAGCTAGTTCTAGGACACCTAAGGCCACACAGAAGCCATATCTGGGGGGGACTGGGAATATATATATATATATATTTATGGAGATATATGAAGAGAGAGAGAGAGAAGTTGGGGTTTTGAGGAGCAGAGCTGGAGAGTATGTAGAGAAAGCATGCCAATTTAGACACACCAAGCTATAGTCTTTCAAATACCATAGCTCAGTTAATTCAGTCTTGTGAGGTAGGCATCTTTATATGTCTTTTATAGCTGAAGAACTGATGGGCTGAAGAGATGGTTCAACAGTTAAGAGCACTGGCTGATCTTCCAATGAGCTCTGGTTTGGTTTCCAGCACCCACAACTGTCTTTTGATTTAGTTCCAGGGATCTGACACCATCACACAGTTATACATGTAGGCATAACAGCGATGTACATAAAGGAAAAAAAAGAAAATCATTTTTAAAATGAGAAGCTAAGTGTCAGAAAATTTAAATTCAGGTCTGTAATGACTTTTTCTCCATTTTTTTCTTATTTCAAACATTCTACCTCATCTGTAAAACACTAAAATACAGAGATCACCTATTTTGAGTTTCTAGGTAAGGTACCAAACTGGTTCATATCTGGCAGCAGCACAGACTTTGTGCAATTAAGACTATAAGGTTGTGCAGATGCTCTGGAATAGAATGAATATGGTGATCCTCTATATCAGAACCAGTTTCCCTTTGCCTTCCGCTGCACTAGAGCTTTCATTTTGATTAAACAGTGTGATTGGAAAAACAGACAGAACCTGGAATTTACAATGAGCCTTGCACTAGCAGCATACTGGTAATAAGCAAAATATTTACATCTGTGAGGAGGTGAGAAATCTGTTCTAGTAGACAGATTGTTCAAATATCAAGAAATTGGTCTTCTTAATATTTTTCTAGTATATTCAATAGCTTGGGTATTTTGGAATTGAAAAGTAAACTGTAACGTTATCTATAAGGAACAAATGTAACTTTTGTTGTATAAAGAGCTTTGCTTTAGCCAGAGATTAGGATAAAAGATAGAATCTTAATATATTTCATAGTAATCATTGCTTTTCCTGGTGCTATTATTAAACGTGTTATATCAACAATAAGAGTGAATGACCCTAGACCTCAGATCAAATTCAATATTCTGCTCCCATTCTCCTTAAAAAGCAAAACAAAATCACAGAGGAGATTAAATATTTCCCAAACATCTTATGTATAAAGAAAGAGGCCAATAAGTCAATATCTAGAGGGAACAGTAGTATTTTGCTGATTGCTGCTCCAGTGTTAGCTTCTGCCTTTTATCACTCAAAGTTAGTATAGGAAGGAATATTTGACAGAAACGGAAAGGAGCAAGAGTTGGATTTTGTGATGAATTCAATAAGACATTGGAACCATTGAAAAAGTAGGCAATAGTGTGTTGGGGAGATGGAAAAGAAGAAAGGAAAGAAGGGTGGGGCAAATGCTACCATGAGTTGCAAAGCGAAGAGTGCAGAGATGTAGTTGAGTTGGTAGAATGCTTGCATGTCATGAAGGAAAACCCAAGTTCTAATTTCCAGCACGGAACAAACTTGGAATGGTGGTACACATTTGTAGTCCTGGAAGTAGGGAGCTGGAGGCAGGAGGATCAGAAATTCAAGGTCATCCTTGTAAATATGAGCTCATGCTGGGACACTGAGACACTATCTCAAACAAAACAAAACAAAACAAAACAAAACAAAACAAACTAAACAAATTGGAAAGAGGCCACTGACATCTAGTCAGAAGTCAAAAGGACCAAATAGTTTAGAGGACTGCCTCACTTGACCAAGTGTGCCAGTACAGTCAGATCAGCTCATCTGTTTTCCTGCATGTACTCTGTGCTAAAAAACATATGTGTTTACAAAGGTAATCAGTTCTGCTGAACAACAGGAGGAATTTTAGATTGGGAAAGCAGAGAAAAACACATTTTGTGTATCGACTGCCGGTGAACACATGAAGCATAATGGTTTTTAAAAGATAAGTTAGCTTTCAGGCTAGCAAATTGAGGAGTGGATAGAGAGGAAAGCAGGTGGTAGAAGGTTTTGTTTACCTAATGTGCAAAGGAGGTCATGAGGTTAATTCTCTCAGCTAATAGATGGAGGCCTGAGGCACAGAATCTCAGGTTTAATGGTCTGAGAGGGTTTCACTGTTTTAAAAGATAGCTTTCTTTATTTGTTAAAGTATGCAATTGAATGGTTAGTCAATTTACAGAATTGTGCAGTCATCACCACAAACTAATTCTAGAATATTTCTGTTGCCTCGTTTTTAATATTCTCTGCCCTCAGTTCTCATCTCCAATCCTATGCAACTATCAATCTGTGTTGTGAGCTAGTTCTTCTTTAGCAGAGCTTTTCAAGTAAATTCTATTATAAAATATGTTGGCGCTGACACCTTTTGTTTAGTGTGTCTATGAGGTTTATCATATTGTGTCATTTATTAAGACTTCATTTGTAGGGCTGGAGAGATGGCTCAGTGGTTAAGAGCACTGTCTGTTTTTCCAAAGGACATAGGTTTAATTCCCAGCACCCACATGGCAGCTCACAACTATCTGTAACCCCAATTCCAAGAGATCTGACACCTTCACACTTATGCACATAAAACATTAAATAAATTATTTTTAAAAAGACTTCATTCCTTTTAATAGACAGATAGTATTTCATTGTTGCAGTATATTACATTTTGATTATCCATTTACCTGGTGATGATATTTGGATTCCTTTCATCTTTTGTATATTGTGAAAATACCACTATGGACATTCATGTCTCTGTAAAACATGTTTTAATTCTTTCTTGCATAGATATGTATAAATGGAATTCTGGGCCATATACTTAAGACTGGTGAACTTTGGGACTGGAGAGATGGCTCACAGGTTAAGAGCACATATTGCTCTTTTGTAAGATCTGAATTTGGTTCCCAACACCGATTATTTGGGCAGTGCATATCCTATAATTTCAACTCCAGCAGATTAGATGCCTCTAGCCTCGGCAGACGCCTGCACACGTGCACACACAGTTAATGATAAACAAAAAGATACTTTTAACTAAAGATTGTGTTGAACTTAATAAAGCTGTTGAAAAGCCTTTAATTGAACTTAATAAAGCTGTTGAAAATGCCTTTAATTCCAGCCCTCAGGGAAGCAGAGGCAAGTGGGTGTCTGTGAGTTCGAGGCCAGCCTGATCTGCAAAGTGAGTTCCAGGATAGCCAAGGCTACACACAGAAGCCCTGTCTCAAGAATCCAAAAATAAATAAATAAAGACATAAATAAATAAATAATCAGTTGAAGTATTTTTCCAGAGCGGTTCTATCAGTTGATATTCTGATGAGTTATTCTGTGCCTTTTTGACCATAGCTTCTCTGACTTTAAAATGATTTATTTAAAACAACTCAATTGCCACCACCATTTATAAATATGACAGGTATTTATTAATATTTTTGCTTACTGTTCCTTCTTTGTTAATGATATTGTAAGGTATTTGACTTTTTTTTTGTCTTTCATATTTAGCTTTTGCTTTATGTTCTCTTTTGTGTCTTTGTTTTTTTTTGTTTTTTGTTTTTTTTTTCCTTAACCATGCTGGGGATGGAAGCCAGGACCTTGCACACACTGAGATAAGTGCTCAAACACTGCGCCACTCCTTCCACAACTCCTGTGCTTGTTCATCAGGCTCCTTGGCAATAACTTACCTTACTTTTCTTGATTTGACCAAATATTGATCTTACTTTCATTCCTGAAATGTCTTTTTAGTAGGTGCTTAATTTTGGACAATAGTTTCAGCATTTGAAAAAGGTTATGCCACTTGTTTCATATGCCCGGGTGTTTTAATTAAAGAACAATCTCTTATTTTTTTGAGTTGTCAATGATATTTTATTTGCTGGATGCGTTAAAGATTTTTCTTTGCTGTTAATATTTGAAAATTTAATTATTAGGTAGTTTTGTGTGGATTTATTTGTCTTTCTAATTTAAGCCTTCTCCTTCTCTTACCCTTTTCTTGAGACATGGTTTCTTTGTGTAGCTGTGGTTGTCCTGGAACTCATTCTGCAGACCAGGCTGGTCTCGAACTCACAGAGACCCACCTGCCTCTGCCTCCTGAATGTTGAGATTCAAGTCCTGTAGCACTATACCCAGTTTAA